CTAGGCCAGGACCCAGTAAACTATTTACTTTTTAATGCAAATCTATGAAATTAGTTCCAAACGATTTTAATGAGAAAAGTATTAGAGATTCATATTACACATAAGACTTAAATTTATTTGAGTATATTCACATCAACTGGTCCTATCTTCTTGCATAAATCTTCCAACTCCCAACGGAGGTCCTACTGTAATCTTTAGTAGTCTTCAGGATTTTGTTTTTAAATCAGATTTTTTAGTTCATTACAGTTGTGAGCTATAAGTAATGTTTAATGTTTATTTAATACACGATTAACGACTCACAGTCACCAGTGACCAGCATATAGTGTACACTATATATGATAGAGTACAAAAAATACAAAAACAAGATTTCAATTCAATATTATGAAGACACTCTCCGTGCTCGCGAGGAACGATTAATATTCATTAAAACAGGAACTTAATTTAATTTTTTTCCACCGGGATTCATTTTAAAGGCTTTGAAATTTCTTTTGTCGTTTAACAATACATTTTTCATTGTTATGTAAATTATTTTACCCACGACGATATATAGATATAGTGTTAAGTGTTTTCTTTTGCTTTTTTCGGAGGCTTCATTTCATATTTTAAAATGTACAATATTTTTCTTTTAGTATTTTCGTATTTTTATATTTTTGCCAACACTTCGCTCGTTATCACAATAAACAATATATGGTTGATTTTATATAGATCATATTTAAAATCATATAAGTTTTTTCTCATAATTCCGCAATACTGCTGTATTTTACTTTTTATTCATTACATATTACATTCGTACGCAAAGTGGATATATAAGAAACATTTACTTAAAACTTACTTTTATCTTGAATTTTATCACTCGCATTGTTATTTAGACAGCTATATTTTTACAATTATAATATCTATATATTTTAATTTAGGTATTTATATTTGTGTTATCTCACAAGCAGATAGCACATAAGAACATCCAAATAAAATGATGAAATTATTATTTATCTGTTGCATAGTTGTTCTGAACTAGTTTTCACCCGCGACTTCATAACATATCATCATAATCATCCTGCTTTCGTCCGCTTCCGGGCTTCTATGGCACGCCACTGAGCCGATTTTCAGCTCTACGTATCCAACCGCTGCCAGCCACTTTGCACAAATCATAGCTTTTATTTAATATTGGGAAATTTATATACGTATACCACCTGTATAAATACAGGTAATTATGTGGGGCTTGCTGGTTAGAAAAGCCATAATGGGGTGTCACAGAATAGCTTACGCACTCAACTACAATGCCCCAACGGCAGGCCTGCCGAAGCATACTACGCAACCAAGGAGTTGCTCCCAAGGTCCACTCTGCTATCAGATAAGTACCAGGAGCAACACGCGTGATACACCGCCCACCAAAGTGGGCCACCTCCCTATGTGTATTGGCTTCGCGCCTGGCTGAGTTGCCGAACGCTAATGAGCTCCGCCAACACGACAAGGTACACAACGAGAACATATTGACGACACGTTTGGCTCAGTTGGTAGTGACCCTACTTGCTGTGCCAGCGGTCGCGGGTTCGAGTCCCGCTGGGGGCATTCATTGGTGTGATGAGCATGAATGTTTGTACTCCAGTCATGGATGTTAATATTTATAATATGTATGTATTTAAAGTTATATATGTGTAGTGTATCAACTATCTGGTATCCATAACACAAGCCACGTAGCTTACCATGGAACTAGATGGCGCTGTGTGTTAATGTCCCAATATTTATTATTATTATTATTATTATATACCGGGGAAGGGCGATCCTATCAACAATCTATACAACGCTTGCCAAACCGTGGTCTATACTTGTGAGGTTCATAATTAATTTTTATAAGTAACCCCATCTATTCATTTGAGAGTTAAAATTTAAAAAAGATAGGGCAGCTGTACTCTTGTCACATAATAAAAACTTTTTAACAAAAAAATAAAAACCGACTTCAAACAAAAGCACTAAAAAGTAAAAAATAACTGATTGGTAGTTTTCATTTACTATACATACCTAATCAAATATTTTCGAAGTCGGTGTGTATATGTATATATATATATATATATATATATATATATATATCTACGTATATAGTTAAGATCCTCTTCCCTTTATAATTAAAAAACAAAACGAAATATTACTTTTAATTCAAAAGTAGGTACACGTATAATATTATATAGTTTTATATTATGTTATCTGTGAAATTTTTTGATTGCCTTATAATTAACTGCAGAACTGCGGCTTCGCTCGCGCTAAAAGTGCAAAAAATAGCTCTAAAAAGGTAGTTTCATACAAATTTTTATCCCCTATTTTACACCCTTATAGGATGAATTTCGCAAAATGCTAAAATACGTATTTATTTAATTTTATTGAAGAACATTAGTACCAAGTTTCAAGTAATTCGGTATAACGTGTTTTCCTGTGGGAATTAGATAATCTACCGCGCTAAAAAGTAGCCTATGTCATTCTCCAGCCATTCAACTATGTCCACACAAAAAATCACGACAACCCGTCACTCCGTTTCGACGGGAAAGAAGGACAAACAAACAAACAAACACACTTTCACATTTATAATATTAGTATGAATTTAAAGAACAGCTTTGTTGTCAGCAAAGCCGACAATTTCTTGTCCATTACTTAAACGTTATATTACATATATGTTATATATGTTTTACTTCCCCACTAACCTTGGTCTGCAGACGGCAACCTTGCTTTTAACGCCGTTACTTCCTCTTGATTTTAAACCTGCTGAAATTATACCAACTTACAAGACTTGCGATAAAATCGTTTTTTGTAATCAAGGCTAGCATTACTTCCAAACTGCAAAATTACATTTAAGCGGAAAAAACTCGCATAAGATCGCGAACTAATAAGCAACAATGTATAGATTTATATTCCAAGCTAAATTATCAATCTGTGCATTTGTAGAATCATATCACTCGTAATAGATTTTTATAACAATATCGAAAATGCTGATGTTCTCCTGACCACGGCGGCCAATCTCATTGAGACTAGCCAACTGCGCAGGAGATATTTTAGTGCACAAGTGTACGCGCAGACACAAGTGCACTCTCTATTCCTGTCACTCGCATACTCCAGTGGGACGACCGCTTGACACGACCAGTGAGAGTTAAGGCGCAGGTCCGACGGCTTTACGTGCTCTCCGAGGCACGGGAGTGAAACACCGCCAACTTCCCAACTCCGGGCTGTTATTGAGGCTTACTATACAGAAAGACTCAATATAAACTAAACTTGGCCCGACCCGGGACTCGAACCCAGGACCTCCGGGTGTACAGCCGTACATGCTAGCCACTACACCACCGAGGCAGTTATATCGAAAATATTTTTCTGCGCAAGTATCATGCTCTAGGTCTAGACTAGACACAATTACTCAAGCACTTTTATCTTTACGCTTTATTTTTTCATAGCTTAAAATAAAAAAAAAATCTTTACAAAATATAAAACGTTAAAAATAAAATAAGTATTATTATTATACTGTATGAACTATCAATTCATATTAGCTTTTTTAGAACTACAAGAAACTTCGAATATACTCGTATCTGCTTTTCAGTTTTCCTAGTATAACTTTTATCTTAGATAATGGAGCTGAGTATAAAAATACAACAGTGCCGAATTATGTTATTATGTCTTAATAAATACAATCAAAATAAGATACTTACTACGCTTATTAACATAATTACTATAAAACTTTATACCCCTACTCGCGGGAAGCTTTTCATTTTTCGCGTAAAAAAATTCCTACATATACTAGGCTACTAGCATTGCCCACGGTTCCGCCCGCGTTCAGATACAGAGACTAAAAACCAAATTCCTAGGTTTTACATATTAGTATACTCTTACATTGCTTTTGTATTTTTTCTCAGAAATGAGACATTTTCCCGCGGTAAAAATATCCTATATGTTGAATTTTATTATATGTATAGATGACTGCAGTCTGCATTCTATTGATAATGATATATTAATATAATTCATTTACACATTTTAATACAATTCATAATAACTAGCATTCAGGTACTACATATCTATAAACACCATGTCAGTTTTCCATAAAAAGCAAGAATTGACAGGTCAGAATTAGACATAGGGAAAGCACGTAAAGAAAAGAGGTAACTATCTGTCGACGTGTTTGGAGGACAAACGTGATCGTGCATTATACATATTATGTATATCGGGATGCCAAATTAAATAGACTTTATTCTATTAATTGCAAAAGTTAAATCGATTTTTTAACGTTAAACAAGATATCGAAATTAAATATAAAAAATAAGAAAAAATGTTGATTTATGGATTTGATCGTTTTTCGTTAGTATGTAATATGTAAAAATCAAATGTTTGTTTATTTATCCTTAATTAAATCTAACTAATCACAGGAAAAGTACATTTAATTAAAAAAGTTAAATTACAAGCAAAAATTTGAAAGAATAAAAAAACGTAAGAAGTATCGATATTTATGACTTTGGTAACTATTTGTATCGTCTATACTTTTAATTTATGACGAGTATGCATGCGTCCTCCTTACACACGTCACAAAAACAATATTAAATATATTTTTTTATAAAAGATAAAAATAAAAAACCAACAAATTGGTTATTTGAATTTTTCACATAAATTTTGAGGTTATGTGAAAAAGTGTAAATACAGGAGTTGTAGTTGTTTTTATTACCTACAACTTTGTTCTTTAACTTTTTTCCATAGGACTTGTAGTTTTGCTGGAACTCCAGATAAACCGTTTTATACCCTTAAAAACTCACCCCCTCCCATTTCCCGACCTCAGATTGCCCGTAAATTATTTTTCCTTTCATTTTCGTTATATTCTCTTCCTTTTCCAATGGGATTCATCCTACTATTATTATTTTTTTATTACAAAAATTATCGACCCTGGTCCAATACCTGTTTTTATTGTGTTATTATGTTATGACAATGACAATTTACTAATTATAATTTATTTACTGTTCGTCCCTCATTAAGTCACAATGTGGTTTTTGGTGATAAGTCTTTGTTTTGTTAGCTCAATATCTTGTGGAGTGATACGTGAATCTAGATTGGTACAATTGTCACAAGGTCCAGTGCGTGGATATAAAGATGTGGAATATGGGATATTTGTATTTCATAGTATCCCATATGCTACAGCACCGACAGGTCGAGATAAATTTAAGGTAACAACTTTATTAAAAAAAATGTTGCTTTATTTAAAAAAATTTGACGATACGTTTGGCTTAGTTTGTAGTGACCCTGCTTGCTGTGCCAGCGGAGTTCGCGGGTTCGAGTCCCGCTGGGGTATTCATTTGTGACATGAGCACGAATGTATGTACTCCAATCATGAGTGTTTACATTTATAATGTATACGTATTTAAAGTAATATAAGTGTAGTGTATCAACTATCCAGTATCCATAACACAAGCCTCGTAGCTTACCATAGAACTAGATGGTACTGTGTGTTAAGAGGATTGTGAAGTGCCGATACGCGGCGAGAGTAGGTATTTTTAAAAATGCTATCTGTTTCATACCGCTTTGCATCCCCCCGGCAGTGAACAACACAAATACAACATACGCAAATTCTCACACACACTATGATAGCAGCAGCCGGTGACGCGCGGGCGCTTGCGGGGGGCGGGGGCGGGGGCGGCGCGACTCGGCGCAAGAGCAATTTCAAAGTTTATCTAATATTTATTATTTTAACGGTTTGCGTACAATATACATTCCCTACAAGTTACATCGCACCTTTATTCATAAACTGAAATAACTCTAAATTACAATTCTGTGGCGAATATCATTTAAAATTTGACTTGTTTAGATTGATGACTTCAAAAAATCATAAAAAAATAAATAGGTGGTTTAGATCAATTACAAAAATCTCGTTCCAAAAGTTGAAAGTTATAGAATTTTTTGTTGTTTATGTAGGTACTAATAGACCCATCGGAATCCTTTTATTGTTAAAATAATTATTTTATTGAAAACCTGAAGTTTTATGATTTTATAATGTTAGCAGGTATATAAGGAATAGAAATTCATAAAATGACCTGATCATGAATGATGATGATTTACGATTTTTTAACATATCTATGACTAAATTTTATAAAATATATCAACTTAATTTTTTTAAATATATTTTTAACTAATGAATAAACAAGATTAGATTACGAATGATTTTCATTTCTTTCTGTAATTGCCCTAAAATCATTTTTTTCAGAAAAATCAATAAAATTAACTCCAAAAACTAATAAAATATCGATAATTTCGAAAAAATTATAACGAATAGTATGTGTATATATATATAATTATACACATACTATTCGTAATAATTTTCATAAAATTATAACGAATATTATAAATTATAACGAATATAAAATTAAAAATATAAATTTTACAAAAATAAAAGTATTTTTATTGCTCCTTCTAAACGGTAATAGTCCAGCAATTAGCAAAAGAAAGCGCGTGACCGGTGGTGGGCGAGGGGTGGAGGGCGAGGGGTGGAGGGGTGTAGGAAGTGGTCCTTACTCATTCAAACTTGGCCAGATATAATGATGATGATGATATAGAAAATATTTTTATTTTTGTATGAAAATGAAAATTTAAGAAATATTTTTTTTTCTTGTTACAGAGGTTGTTGTTATGATGTAAATAGTATATTCCCAAAAGGTCTTCAGTAAATTAAAAATGACCCTGTATATATATATATATATATTTATATATATACATTTATATATATATATATATATATATATATATATATATATATATATATATATATATATATATTTTCAGTTTTGTATTTTTTCTCAGAAATGAGATATTTTCCCGCGGTAATGCTATAATATGTTGATCCGGATAACCAGCTACCACCATACCAAATTTCATCAAAATCCCTCCAGTGGTTTTTCTGTGACGTGGTAACAGACAGACAGACATACAGACAGACAGACAAAAATTCAAAAAACTATAGATTCGGCCTCTGTATCGATAATAATGTTTATTTCAATAATATTTTCCAAAAAATATTTAATGTACAGATACGGCTTAGTTACAATCTATACATACGAGTATAATAAAATTCTAAACTTTGGATTGAATCCTTTTAGTATCGATCGATATATCGATATTACCTTCTCCTCCCTAGGAGATAATAATATCGATAGCACCTTCAACATCACTACAGTCTAAAATATGCCCCTGCCCCCGACCCGTATGGTGCGATAGAGAGAGTTGCAAGTCTTAGACTCAATTACCTACATTTCCTTTTTGAAATATTGTTTCGGGCGATAACGTTTTCACCCCCCTAAACATTAACGAAATGAGACGATTTTGGTCTCATTAGATTCAGTACACCTTAATCTAGGTCTGTACGTTTTCCTTTTTTTGTAATTCAGTTTAGTTTAATTTAAACAAATAAAAAAGCTGGAGGAAGTTTTTAGGTCAAAAATATAGATATTTAGATGCTAATAACTTCTGTCGTACGCAATATTTCAAAAAAATAAAAACGTACGGACCTAGATTTTGATTATATCTACAACATTTCCAAAAATTATGAAAATTAGACTATGTTTAAGGGGGGAAAAACGTTATCGCTTTTTGTATGAAAATTTACAGGTTCACAATCCTCTTAATATCCTAACATATTTATTTATTTAATTAATCATAGGACTTCATTAATTTATCACTTAGTTAATATATACAGGGTCATTTTTAATTTACTGAAGACCTTTTGGGAATATACTATTTACATCATAACAACAACCTCTGTAACAAGAAAAAAAAATTTTTCTTAAATTTTCATTTTCATACAAAAATAAAAATATTTTCTATATCATCATCATCATTATATCTGGCCAAGTTTGAATGAGTAAGGACCACTTCCTACACCCCTCCACCCCTCGCCCTCCACCCCTCGCCCACCACCGGTCACGCGCTTTCTTTTGCTAATTGCTGGACTATTACCGTTTAGAAGGAGCAATAAAAATACTTTTATTTTTGTAAAATTTATATTTTTAATTTTATATTCGTTATAATTTATAATATTCGTTATAATTTTATGAAAATTATTACGAATAGTATGTGTATAATTATATATATATACACATACTATTCGTTATAATTTTTTCGAAATTATCGATATTTTATTAGTTTTTAGAGTTAATTTTATTGATTTTTCTGAAAAAAAATGATTTTAGGGCAATTACAGAAAGAAATGAAAATCATTCGTAATCTAATCTTGTTTATTCATTAGTTAAAAATATATTTAAAAAAATTAAGTTGATATATTTTATAAAATTTAGTCATAGATATGTTAAAAAATCGTAAATCATCATCATTCATGATCAGGTCATTTTATGAATTTCTATTCCTTATATACCTGCTAACATTATAAAATCATAAAACTTCAGGTTTTCAATAAAATAATTATTTTAACAATAAAAGGATTCCGATGGGTCTATTAGTACCTACATAAACAACAAAAAATTCTATAACTTTCAACTTTTGGAACGAGATTTTTGTAATTGATCTAAACCACCTATTTATTTTTTTATGATTTTTTGAAGTCATCAATCTAAACAAGTCAAATTTTAAATGATATTCGCCACAGAATTGTAATTTAGAGTTATTTCAGTTTATGAATAAAGGTGCGATGTAACTTGTAGGGAATGTATATTGTACGCAAACCGTTAAAATAATAAATATTAGATAAACTTTGAAATTGCTCTTGCGCCGAGTCGCGCCGCCCCCGCCCCCGCCCCCCGCAAGCGCCCGCGCGTCACCGGCTGCTGCTATCATAGTGTGTGTGAGAATTTGCGTATGTTGTATTTGTGTTGTTCACTGCCGGGGGGATGCAAAGCGGTATGAAACAGATAGCATTTTTAAAAATACCTACTCTCGCCGCGTATCGGCACTTCACAATCCTCTTAACAAAATTTTATATTAAAAAAATACCTAAAATAAATAATATTACAAAAGTATGAATAGACATTTTTAATTTCAATCGTAATACGTGTAAAAAATTAAAATAATAGATATTTGTTTTATACCTTTTAAGTCAATTTTTTTAGTAAGATTCATATGTCCTCATTTCTGCTAGATTGCTTTAAGTAAAGTAATAATAAATACAATTACTTTATTCTTATAATATGCATTACATATAATATTTTCACGAAAATCTATTATGGGATAGCCAAATAAATCTCTTCATTTTGAATGCTATCAGCTAAGCTGACTCCACACATATTTCTAGAGCATCAACTGAATTCAACTGAATTCTTACAATGCGCTTTCCAATGATGCAATAAGTGCTGGATCAACAGCGTAAAACAAACAATAGATCAGCGAGTCACGAACTTTCGGCCCGTTTCACTTTCGGATATGTAAATCGAACAGCCATACAGAGTACAGACGTCAACCACACTAAGTAATTTTATTACAATTCCGATAAAATGAACTTACAGATTGTAGCAGATATCTGGGTTCAATGCCTCGCAAGTTCTTTATGTTATTTCCAATGCGCAAAAAATCTTCATAAAGAATTTGTATAATATATATCTACCTATAAATTTATTAATAAAACTTAATTATAATTAATAGACTAATTGATTTTTATAGGAGGTATAGGATGGTAATATCGCAATTTTAACAGCAGTCATCACATCTTTCATCGTCAATACCATTGATAATAGTCAGCAAGATCATACTACGATTCGTACCCATTTATTATGGGTAGTATGATCTTGTTTGTAATAAATAAACATGTCTAAACTTGTTCATTATTATTTAGAATTCCAATTGATAACGCGCTTATCTATTTTGTCCAAACAAAGTAGGTTCTGAGTTATAAAAGGTCAAGATGTCTAATTTTATAGATTTGTACAGCTTCGCGTACTTATTATTATTACGAGTTTGGGATTTTTACCGTAATAGAAAGATGGTACGGAATATCATTTTTTCTCCAAATAGTTGTTACAACCGTTTAATAATTGGTATCTGTTCAAGCTAAAAAAGGTAAAAAATCTTAATTCTTTTGCCATTGTTTTACATTACACACAACAGGTTTACATTACAAGTCAGGCTGCTGATTATGATACGAAATCGAAATACCTATATAAAAATGAGAAAATTAAAAAAAATACTTTTATCATAATGAGATGTTTCATAATGAAAAAGAAAAAAATCCCTTGATGAATACCATTATTAGGCATTGTTTTGTTTTTTAACATCAAACAAAACTGTATTGGCAATAAACTGTCACCAAATAATTAAAAAAAAACCCCATTGTACTTTTGTTACATTATGTTTTTTCAATAATTTTGGTGATAGATTTCGATGATCAGAAAGTAAATATTTTTTTATTTGGCAAACCAATAAGGTGCTAAACTTAGATCATGCTTAAGAAACTAGAAAGTTTGCTTATTGGAATTTTGAAATACCACTATTAATTAATCTTAAAAATAAATAACCTTTTATTACAATGTCATTAAAAAATCGTAAGACGAATTAATAAAGTTGTGCGAGAATGTCTGCGAACAATTGCGTCAAGGGCCCGCCTCTCAGTGTTACTTATGAGCTTATTTCAAATTAAATTCACTTCTTCTTTGCTGAAGTTATGTAATATATAAAATATGCATGTATAACACAATTTATTTCCAATTTTCAATTTAATAAAAATAATGCCAATTAATTTTGAAATTTTGCAATATTTTCTTATTTAAGTATAAAAATCGATGTTTACAAACAAGATGAAAAAATAAATGTCACAAATAATTTATATTAAGTATACACAAAATACTAGTTACCTAACATTATTGTCCATACATGATTTCAATGTAATAGTCAATTTATATTAACAGGTCCCATCATCACCGCCAAAATGGAGTGAACCATTAGAAGCCGTGGATGGAGATGTCATATGTCCTCAAATTGATTTTATGAATGTAGTCCCAGATAATAAGATACCCAAAGAAGATTGTCTCCTTGTAAATATTTATGCTCCTGATAGTAAAAAAACGCAACTCCCAGTAGTCGTTTATGTTCACGGCGGTGCATTCATTGAAGGCTGGAGTGATCTATTTTCACCAAAGGGCTTAGTTAAAACTGGAGAGGTTATCGCAATTACATTTAACTATAGATTATCCGCGCCCGGTTTTCTATGTCTGGGTACAAATAATATTCCCGGGAATGCCGGCATGAAAGACCAAGTAGCACTATTGCGATGGGTAAAGGAAAATATTAAAAACTTTGGCGGTAATCCTAATGATGTCATATTATCAGGCTTTAGTTCTGGAGCTTCAGCTGTAGATCTTTTGATGATTTCAAAAATGACAAAAGGTTTATTCCATAAAGTCATTCCAGACAGTGGATCGAGTTTAGCATCATTTGCTGTTCAGCCAGACCCTCTGAAAAATGCCAAGGAATATGCTAAATTATTAAACTTCAATGATGTCGATAATTTGATTGCCTTGGAAGAATTTTATAGAAATATCCCATATGAACAATTACTATCGGTACCAGTATTAAATAGAACAGATTCCATGTTTTTGATGTCGCCCTGTGTTGAGCGTGATCTAGGGGAAGAAAGGTTTCTTGAGGACAACCCTGTTAATATATTGAAAAGTGGCAATTTTACTAAATATCCTACGTTAGTTGGATTTTCTAATATGGAAGGTTTATTCTTTATACAAATGTTTGAATATTGGAAGAATATGATGAATACCCGGTTTTCTGATTTTTTACCGGGAGATTTACATTTTCAAGATGACAAAGAAAAAGAAGAAGTTGCAGAACAAGTAAAAAAGTTTTATTTTAAAAACAAATTGGTTGGAAAAGATACTATAACTGCATACGTAGATTATTTATCGGATGTTGTATTTGTTAATTCACTACTGAAATCTGTCAAGTTACAAGTGGAAGCTGGAAATAGTCAGATGTATTTCTATGAATATTCTTATATTGAGAAAAGTATACCACCGATACCTTACACGAACATACGTGGTGCAATTCATTGTTCTCAAACGTTTGCAATATTAGATGGTTTTTTCAATGGAACTATGGTGCCAGAAATATATATATCTGAAGAACTGAAAGAAATAAAAAAAAGTATGAGGAAAATTTGGCTAAGTTTTATAACTACAGGGTAAGCATTTTATTTCTGATTTATTTTAAGCAATATTTAAATTTTGTTAGTTTGACGCCAATTACCATGACCGATTTCCGATTACGACAGCCATATAATTATTTCATATAATTTTATTGTTATACATATTTATATTTTAATTTTCTATTCTTATATTATTTTAGATATCCTATACCTGCCGAATCGAAGTTACCCTCATGGCCTACGGTGGGCCCGAACCTTTCTCCGTACATGTCCATTAACAAAACTTTAGAATTAAGGCGATCTTTCAACGACAGAAGAATAATGTTTTGGGAAAAAATTTATGAAAAATATTATTACTTTCCTAAAGCTCCTTCTTTTTCTTAAAAAAGTTGAACATTAATTGTAAAAAAATGTCATGTCTAAAATACAAAATAATATGCAATAGGTAAACCTAATCTTTTGTCAGGGTATTTTTCTTCCTTCCTCCTTCATCGGCCTTTAATTTAACAACATAAAAATTTTATTTACCGTTTGGGAATCCTGACTATAATTTTATAATTTATTTCTTTCTTTATAATTTTTCATGAAATGTATACTAAAATAGTTTATATTTTAAATATAGGCTTAAAAACTAAATTACATGAAGTAAAATGTGTAATTTAAGTTCTTTTGAGGTGTGGAGGAACGTCATAAAAATACTATCATTATTTTGACGACACGTTTGGCTCAGTTTGTAGTGTACTTGCTGCGCCAGCGGTCGCGGGTTCGAGTCCCGCTGGGGGCATTTCTGTGATGAGAACGAATGTTTGCACTTCAGTCATGGATGTTTATATTTATAATATTTAAATGTATTTAAAGTTATATATGTATAATGTATCTGTTATCCATTTTTTTTTTTTTTTTTTTTTTTTAACGTTGGGAAATGCATTTACGCACGACGTGTGGGACTCACCGGCGTAATACAGCCAGTACTACCCACTAAAACCCAACAAAACCTTCCCCCGTCTTAATGGGGCGTCGCAGGATCGCTTACGCATTCAACTACGACGCCCCGACGGCAGGTCCGCCGCAGCAGACCTCCACAACCATGGGGTTGCTCCACAGTCCACTCTGCTATCAGAGAAGTACCAGGAGCAACCCGCATGGTATACCGCCCTCCGAAGAGGGCCACCTCCCACCGCCCACCGAAGTGGGCAACCTCCCTGTGCGTTTCTTAGCTTCGCTACTGCTACTGAGCCCCCCCACCACGACAAGGTGAACGCACGTTGGGGGGGATGTATCTGTTATCCATAACACAAGCCTCCACCATGGAACTAGATGGTGTTATATGTTAATATCCTGACATATTTATTTATTTATTATACTCGTATTTTTATAAATGCGAAAGTTTGTATGTGGGGGAGTTGTTTGTTACTCCTTCACGCTGAAACGGCTGGATTTATATGTTCAGTATACAGTTATTTTTTAACGTCGGGACCGTAACGCATACCACCTGCATGCAAACAGGTGGTAACATAGGACTCACACCGACACACATTGGCTGACAACGACTTAAAAAATATCTTATATAATATTTTTATACAGAATATATAAGTTTCAACTGTGAATAAAAACCCCGTTCAATTAATTATTTTTTGAGGAAATCAGTTTAGTTTTCATTTTTAAGTTTTTAGTAAAAACCAATTAACCTTTAAAAATATTTATAAATATTTTATTTTAGAAGAATTATATACAGGTACAAACTGTTAACCTTTCAAAACTTGATTATTATCCCCGACTATTCACAAAAAAACAAAACCAATAACGACGATAAATGCGACAATATTCATGTGTGTCAATAAAGCGATCAAATAGCTTTAGAATAAAAAGAGAAAACAATCAGTAATCAAATTTATAATCTAGGAATAACCCTATGTAAGTACATGTTTACCAGAGTACCGATTTTTAATATGAATATAATATCTACCACAGCCATTAATTAATTACTTTTTTACTTTCTTTCATAATAATTATAGAATATGAAACATTATAATACAAGAAGCTTTAAATGTAACTGGGTAATTGAATATTACATAGTGGCACTATGTAATATTCAATTACCCAGTTAGTAATTAATATTCAATTACCCAGATAGTAATTGCCCAGCGGCAACGCGCTTGCTTGGGAAACCTAGTGAAGCGGATTTAAATCCCGGGTATCGCACCTCTGATATTATCATGTGCGAATCATTACCTACATGCTTACCACTTGACTTACGGTGAAGGAAAACATTGTGAGAAAACCTGTATGTCTGAGAGAATGAATGAATGAGCGTGGTGGAGTATGGCCTGATTCACATCGCATTAAAGAGAGGTGCGTGCCCAGCAGTGGGACGTTTAACAAAATGGCTCAATAAATATTATCCATTATATTAATTTTACTGCTAAACGGAGCTTACTTCATTGAAATAAGAGCTATTTTTCTACTTTACTTTTGCTGTTTTCTTTATTTCTTGATACTATTATGAATAATACATTCACCTACCTACATACTCTAAATAAATAAACAAAATATTTATAAGTTATAACCATAGATTGTTATTAAAAATATTGTGTTTAGTATCATGCACCACTAAAGGTCCGAGGTAAGACTATAGAATATATAATATAGAAGATCCTGCTATGAGTATAAAATGAAACTTATTAAATAGTTTTTATCATTCGTTAAGCTGCTGCCTTAAAATGTGGGAGTGTGTATTGGTTAGTATGTGCTTTATAGCGGCTAGTGCTGGTTGGTCAGAAGACACAAATTCAAAACTAGTGAACATTACTCAAGGCCCTGTGCGCGGCTACAAGGACCCCAATGAAGATATCACAGTTTTCTACAGTATTCCATACGCTAAAGCTCCTACTGGTCCCGATAAATTTAAGGTAAAATATTTTTTTCTTTAATTATTTCTACACATCAATTTAAAGCCGCAGCAGTGTAGTGCATGGGTTAGTAGTTAGTACCTACATATAGATCCACCACTCAAGTCGCCAGTACAATCCTAAGAACATAAATGTTAAAATTGAAATCTACATAAGATTTGGTAATGCAATAAGTTATTTACGCGTTTTTTGATAAAGCCTTAATCCTGAGGAGACAAATAAGTGTGAAAGAGCTTAGATAGATATTTAGCTTTTTTTCACTTGAAACGTTTTTAAAGTCACACCAAAATATACGGGTACCAGGTCAGAAAAGTAGACCGAAACGGAATAGGTTAACACAGCCCCACTCACACACAGCTGATTTATTTAAAGAAAAAAATAATACAATAAGCCAAAAATTTTGCGTTAACCACTAGACCCCGCGCTGCAACACGTATTAAAGTCTAAGCCCGCGCAGCATTTTTCCACGATACCATAACAATATACATTACTAATACATCACTACACACTACTATTAGAAAAACAGTTTGAAAAAACTTATTGCAGATAAACGTCTTTGTGTTGCTATTATAGTAATTTATATTAGGCTTTGTATTCAGGCTCTTACCTATGCCTAACATATTTACCTTGTCCTACAATTTTGTAGTACATTGTTTTGATATATGTCTTAAGGTTTAGCCATTGTGAGCCGAACAATTTTCTAAGGATGACCTGATAGAACCTTGTTAATTATAAAAAGTTGTATATAAGAAATCTTGTATAAACAGCCTCAAAAACTATAACAATTATCATTTTTTTGAAATAAATATTTAATTATTATGCCTTTTATTGTATTTTGTATGGAGATTTCTAGAAAATTTGTTTTTTTTAATTTACGGATTTTCAAAACAGCGGTAATTTTTAACGGGTAAACTTTTTGGTTTATGATATTAAAAACCCAAAATAAAAAACATTCAAATCCGGATTAAACAAAACAAAAAAAACAAACTGGATTCCGTCTTTTTTCATTTATAATGACTAATTGCACTCGACTATTCGCCGAACTTCAATGTCAAATTCTTTGGTTTGTTTTCAAGTTAATTTTAGAAAATGTCAAATTGAAATAAGAAAATAAATTAGTCAAATAAATTTAGTAACAAAAACCTGCTATAATAATATAAAAACCTATAAGTATATCAGATTAAGATACAACGCTTGAAGAAAAGAAACAAAGCAAGGGTTCCGCAACAAAATACGAAATATTTGTGCTACCTAGGTATTTCCCTATAGTAACGGAGATTACATTATAATAAAATATTTGATCAAGCTCTTATCCCCTCGACAGACAGATTGTTACCTTGGAGTCCTGACCTTTGACTACGATACTTTAGAAATCATATGCCATAAAAATTAGCATTAAAACTGTCACAATTCTTTTTTTGCTGGGGCCATGAGATTTATTTTGGTCGAAACGGTACTTTATAAATATATATTAAACTGGTATCCATTAATATGTAATCTTATAAAGTCTTGTTATATTTTGAGAACAAATAATATTATATGTATAAAAGCAGTATAGCCAAAAAGGTTGTGGTTGGCAATTGTAAGTATGCACAACGTTTTCTAAGTTTAAGTCTTAAACTTATATATGTATTGGCTAAATACATGTTCGTACTCTAAGCCTGCATCCATATATCGCGAAAGTATACTAAATGAAAAAATAAAAATAATTATATTGTAATCATTTCAGGCACCATTACGGGTTCCTACTTGGACAGATCCATTAGAAGCAGTTGACCAAAAAATAGTATGTCCACAGAATATTTCACCATTCGTTCAAAGAACTTTTCAAGAAGACTGTCTTATCGCAAATGTTTACGTACCAAATACAGAAGAGCAAAATCTCCCAGTCGTAGTGTATATACACGGTGGCGGCTTTGTTATAGGTTATGGGGATCTATTTAAACCAAAAAAACTAGTTGCCAGTAAAAAAGTTGTTGCTGTTACATTTAATTACAGACTCGGTGCACATGGTTTTCTATGCCTGGGTACAAAAGACATACCAGGTAATGCCGGCATGAAAGACCAAGTTGCATTACTTCGCTGGGTTAAACAGAATATTGCAAGTTTTGGTGGAAACCCCGATGACATCACAATAAGTGGATTTAGCGCTGGATCTTCCTCTGTTGGACTTTTAATGATATCAAAGATGGCACAAGGTTTATTTAAAAAAGGTATTCCAGAAAGCGGAGATATTTTTTCGCCTTACAGTATGCAAACGAAACCTGTTCAAGTTGCAAAAGAGTACGCTCAGTTAATAAATTTTAATAATGTGGATGATATTAATGCTTTAGAAACTTTCTTTAAAAATGTATCTTATGAAGTTATGACTTCGGCTGACATATTAAGCAGAGCTGACTCCACTTTTCTCTTTGCACCTTGCGTTGAGCGAGACTTTGGACAAGAAAGATTTCTTGATAATAGCCCCATGGATATAATAAATCGTGGCGAATTCAAGAAAATACCTTTATTGTCTGGATTTACAAGTATGGAGGGCTTAATGCGTATTTCGAATTTTGATCAATGGAAAATTGAAATGAATAAAAAATTTTCTAACTTCTTACCAGCTGATTTGTATTTTAAGAACAATGAAGAGAGGGATAAGGTTGCTCAAACAATTAAACAGTTTTATTTTAATAATCAACCCGTCGATAACAACAATGTACTGGATTATGTTAACTTACTTTCAGATATGCTTTTTACGTGCCCAACTTTAAGATCAACAAAATTACTGCTAAAAAGTGGCAATGAACATATATATTTCTATGAATATACTCATGTTGATAATTGTACAGCAAAGGTACCATACACCGATGTGAGAGGCCCCACACATGTGGCTCAAACAAGTACCATTTTAGAAGAAGATCTTCGAAATTGTACTGATGATAAAGATATAGAGGAATGGAAATCATTAATGAGAGAAATTTGGCTAAACTTTATAACGGAGGGGTATGTTTGAATTATGTATTAATACCTTTAAACGAGAAATTCTTGTATATTTATTTATTTATTTATTTATTTATGTATATATACCGGCCACCTCAGAAACAGCTCTAACGATTTTGCTGAAATTTGGTACCTGAGGGGTTTTGGGGGTGAAAAATCGATGTAGATTAGTCTTATGTCTGGGAAATCATGTGTTTTCGAGTTTTTAGGCAATTTTTCACATTCCACACAAAATATGGTCGCTAATTTCGCACGCTCATGTATAAGTTGGGGTCTAACGGCCAAGGTGCAAGATTGATAATCACAGGTGTCCGGGTTCGAATCCCGGTCTGAAACAAAATTTTTATTTTTATTTATTTTGTTCTATTTATTCAAGTTTTTAATTTTTAAGCTAAATTAATAAGAAAATTGTACTTTTAGCCAAAAACTCCGAGCAAAGCTCGGTCGCCCAGGTGCTTAATGTTATACAGGGTGGAACAAATAGAAAAGTACCTTAATTAATATTAATGTTATCAATATTTACTCAAAGGAAGCATTTCTTTATTTAAAAAAAATGCTGCATTTATTTATTTTTTAAAAAAGCTTACTGTGGAAATGTGTAATTTGTAAGATTTCATCGTTTTTTTCAATTCTAAGACGCAATGTTTGTTCGAGAGATTTTATTCTTCCCATAGACCCCTATCGATTAATTCGATAAAACAGTGACGGTGTCCTTTTTTCCTTTTTTATTTGGTTCGATTCCCGGTTCAGGTAAGCTTTTTTAAAAAAAAGTAAATGCAGTTATTATTATTTAAAAAAATAAAAAAAATTTTCTTTTGAGTAAATCTTGATAACTTCAATATTTAAGGTACTTTTCTTCCATGTCGCATCGATTTGTGCCATCCTGTATAATAATTAATATTTGTGACAAATAATAAATAATAAAAGTATAATTTCTGAATAACATACGTACTCACTTGAACTTATTTTATATTAATTTCTTTTATAGGATACCCGAAAGCCCTAGTCTTCCAGAATGGCCGCCCCTTCGTGCAGACTCTTTTAACTATATGGATCTTAATCGAAATCCATCACTTAAAACTTCTCTTCTACAAGAAAGATGTTCCTTTTGGGAAGAAATTTACAATAAGTTTTATCAAAATCCTCTTCCACCTGAATATTAAAAAAATTAAACTAATCGTGGTTATTATTGTAACAAGTAGTAATCATGTGGTATTTAAAAAAAAATGATTTTAAATTTCAAGGCATTATCTTTTTCTTAAATTATATAGCTACAATCGCATCCTATTTCCTTTTACAGATCAACAATTATATTTGCATAAGTTTCCTATTCGATAAATATTTAAAAAGAATATATTTCGTTATTTAAAAATAATATCAAATGTAAGCTCAATCGTTTAAACAATAAAAACTTAGAAAGCAAATACTTGCAAAAAGTCAAAGGCAAACCTAATTTAGTTTTGTACTATTTACTATCCTCATGGACCTTGTACCTTTTTAAAATGCACCGATAAACACATCCTATTTCAACGACACGTTTGGCTCAGTTTGTAGTGACCCTACTTGCTGTGCCAGCCGTCGCGAGTTCGAGTCCCGCTGGGGGTATTCATTTGTGTGATGAGCACGAATGTTTGTACTCCAGTCATGGGTGTTTATATCTATACATATAATAAAATTGTAACTAAGCCGAATCTGTACATTAAATTTTTTTGGAAAATCTTATTGAAATAAACATTATTATCAATACAGAGGCCGAAACTATTGTTTTTCGAATATTTGTCTGTCTATCTGTCTGTCTGTTACCGCATCACGAGAAAACCACTGGACAGATTTTGATTAAAGGTATGATAATAGCTAGTTATCCGGGTCAACATATAGGATACTTTTTACCGCGGGAAAATGTCTCATTTCTGAGAAAAAATACAAAAACTACAATGTAAGAGTATACTAATATGTAAAACCTAAGAATTTGGGTTTTGGTCATCTGAAGGCCGGTGAGGCCGCGGGCAATGCTGTTTAAGTATAAAAATCGATGTTTACAAACAAGATGAAAAAAATAAATGTCACAAATAATTTATATGCTAGTTTACTATAGATTCTTAATCAAATAATTTCGAACTTGGTGCCAGCTGAAAATGCCGATAATATATTTCGTAGTCTTAAGTTCATATATAACGTAGCCACCTTTAATAATATTAGCGATAAATTTCAATATTTAAACATACCAACATGAATCTCCGATTTTGAAATAAATTCTTTATCCTAGGCTCAAAATAATTATAATCATTTACACACTACCAAAACGTAACACAATTTTTAGTATTTCATTCACCTACAGATATATTTGTTTGTCAATTGGGAAATTCAAGGTAGTTGAAACGCAACGCGATTGGTCAGACCGAATGTGACGTCAAAGTCTATTATAACATAGCGCTGTTGTTTGGTGTTTGCGATTGGTTTTAACAATCGACAACGTTCATATTTTGTTGATTGCAATGTTATTACAGAGTACGACGCCAAGCGCACTAAAATGGTTCGCGTTTAAAGTATCCGTATTGATAGGATATTTTAAAATCATATTTTTTTTGTCAAATTTTAGTTTTTTTTGGAGCTGGGTATTTTTTCCAATTATATAACGATGTAAGCTATTGTATGAAAAATAAAAATATTCTTTACTAGCTCAACACTTTTTTTTTTTTTAACGTTGGGAAATGCATTTACGCACGACGTGTGGGACTCACCGGCGTAATACAGCCAGTACTACCCACTAAAACCCAACAAAACCTTCCCCCGTCTTAATGGGGCGTCGCAGGATCGCTTACGCATTCAACTACGACGCCCCGACGGCAGGTCTCGAAGCAGACCACCACAACCATGGGGTTGCTCCAAGGTCCACTCTGCTATCAGAGAAGTACCAGGAGCAACCCGCAAGGTACACCGCCCCCCGAAGAGGGCCACCTCCCACCGCCCACCGAAGTGGGCAACCTCCCTGTGCGTTTCTTAGCTTCGCTACTACTACTGAGCCCCCCCACCACGACAAGGTGAACGCACGTTGGGGGGAACTAGCACAACACTAGTGTTTGCTATGGAACGGTCGTTTGTGCACTATAATTATTTCTTAGTAGTTTAATATGTGCATTTAGTCAGCATAAGTATTTTTTACTAAACGTTGGCAGTGCCGTTTTTCTTAAATTTTATTTATTAAGTTCTAAGGTACTACCTACCAGATTTAAAAATATTTACATGCTATGTTTCATTTCTATGCGTGCATTGCATATGTATGTGGATACTAAAATAAAACGCATATTAAAATTCGTAACTAGAAGATTTCATTTTAATTTCTGCATGGCGAAATATAACAAATTACGATGATTTCAAATGGCGCAAAGTAACGTCACCTACTACCAGATTCAAAGCGAATAAAATACAAAAGCTTTAGCCGAAATGCTGTCTCAATATAAAGGATTTAAGTTAGATAAATATTTTTAATAAGCGTTCTATTTCCGGTAAAACGCTGCTACACTCTTAACTACGTAACATTATTTATCTCAGCCTGGGTACTGAGATCGGAACCCACAACAATTCCTTGCGTGAAGACGTTTTTTGCTATTACGATTCTCTTACTTATTACTTAGAACATTTCATATTCACTTACAGTCCTTGAATAGTAGCTTATTCATCACTTATTCCAGAACAAAAAGTATTCACGCTGTTATAGTTAATTAAAATAAAACTACATAATAGCTTGAGAATTTATCTAATAATGTTCATCATTTTTTTTAATTCAACCTTTTTATAGTTTCACCACAAAGTTTCTATATGTCTTATAAATTATAAAATAAACTACCTAATACAACACACGCTATTGCGGTTGTGTTAATGTTATTAGCATTTATTAAATATCAATAATACGAGTATTCATTTACAGTAAATCTTATACCACAAATTACAAATATTATATGTTGTGTAGGTACTATCTCGTAGATCATAGGAATATCATAATGTATGTATATCTTCATTATTCGGTGAGACCAAGACGTTCAACAGTTAGTCACAATTACTCGTAACATTAGGTTTCATGTTAATTTTTACAGTTTAAGTTCTCTGTTCAACATATTTAATCAGTTCAATTACCTAGTTCATAATTTAGTGATCGCTAGAGGACTGAACGAGAATCGCATGATATATTGTATCACCTTTCCTTTACCTAAAGTTTTTAAATATTAATTGGATAAATTATTATCCTATTTTAAGAATTTTTTCATATAAAATTTACAGAAATCTTATTTATCGTAAGGCAAGGATTTAAGCTACAAATACTTCAAAAGCAGACTGCGCCAGTTAATACAGTTAATGCGATGAAGGCTGAAGATTTATAGACCCGCAGCGCACACGATCGCGAAGCTACGTCAGATCTTCTATACCACTGGGAAATCAATAAAAATGGTGTCGGAAGCGTCATGATATTTGTAATGACTTCTAAAAGCATCATTTTGAAAAATCTAATTAAAAACATTTTCCTTCTTCAAGTGCTTAATTTTCATTATTACCTAACAACGCAATATAACGTAACAAAAGCAAGGTGTGTCTTTCAATGTTTTTGATAGAAAAAAATCTTTTTGATAGAAAAAAAACAATGTCTGAGAAAACAAACCAACGAAACTACATAAATTTAGTTGGCAAATTTGCACCAAATTTTTTGTTTCATTATCGATATTTCAGTTCGTAAAAGGAAAAATATGAAAAAATATATAATCATGAGCGTGTAACTTTGTTGTTATTGATGATAAGAAAAAGTTGACAAGCCTTTTTTATAAGATTTTAAGCGTACTATAAATTTGCCATTTAACATTTTTCTCTAACTCTTAAAGTTTAGCTAAAAAATGCAAAAAAACCTAAATTTGAAATTCAAAGCTATATAACAAATCAATTAATATCGAAGATAAAAAATCGACTCAATGGAAATTGGAATTTTGAGCTCCGTTTTTAACAGGAGCTTTGTTGGGACATTACATCAAAGAAAAAAATATCGTATATAATATATATCTATATATATATATATATATATATATATATATATATATAGGACGCGCACGTACGCACACGCACACAGCACAAGCACACGCACACGCACAAGCACACGCACACGCACACACGTCAAACTTTATAATATCCCGTCGTTTTTGCGTCAAGGGTTCATAAACTGAGATCTCATCCTACGAAACCTATATAAATAGGAAAACTGTTGTTTATTAGGACGTCTTACAAGTTAATTATTGCGAGCCCCCCATAGTTAATTAAGACTTTATCTCAACCCTTGGACTCATTATGTAGATATAAGTCGGCAAATGAATGGAATATTTTAATGGAGTTGTTTATCCTTCTAAATTGTAAAGGACCATATATGTTAGCATAATAGAGTTTGTAGATACAATAGTATAAAGTTCTATACACATTAAATGATTATGTAATATTAGCAGAAAAATTATATATTTATCACATTGAACTGTGCCAAAAATTTCAAGGAGTCAACGTTTAAAATCATAAAAAATTAAATTATAAAAGTAAAAAAACTCGACTGCGGAAAAAACTAAAATGATGGGAACAAGTTGACGAAGGAACATAGTCTTAAGCATTATTGTGTAAAGGAGATATTATAAAAGTACACAACTGTGCACATACTGTCGCGCAGGGACCGATAGCTTAAAATGGTCTTTGAGGCTCGGGGGTGTAAACACCGCTAATTTCCCATTTCCGGGCTGCTACTGGTTATTTATTTTGTGACAGAAAATCCCAGTACTTAATCATTTTGACCTGAACTTGAACTAAAACTCTCACAATCTGCTACTATTAACAACGCCTACACATACTCGTACTTAGGTACCAATAATAGAATGAATTTATTACGAGAATGTTTACGAGAAAACACAAAGTAATTGCCTTCAACTATAAAGCGCTTTCTTTATACAATTCCTTATGCTTGCTTGCTTATAATTGTTATGGCTTTATTGCTTATTATGATTGCTCTACACGATAAGCCATGATAGACGATTAAAGGCGAGTACAATTGTATAGAGGCAGATGGCATTCATGTATGCAGTATATTTAACTGTCGGCTTATTAATGACACATCAAAAGAAATTCGCAATTAAATAGTTCA